CCACCAGCAAATACTCTGCAGATTAAAGTCTGAGGAAATGCTAAAAAATGGACTTGCACTAACCAGCTTCCAGGGAAGCTCTTACTATAGTTCATACTATCATTAGATGCTTCAGTAGGAATCAGTGAAAGCATCTGTGCCTTATGTTAGCACTGGTGAAGATTATTAACTGCTTTCATAAATACTGAGCAAAATGTGTAAAGAGCCAGGAAAAATATTGGAAAGATATATCCACTTGGCTCTGTGCAATTCAGTCTTTCTACAAAGCACAGAAACTGCTTCTTGTGGGGACTAACTGATCATTTCCACAGTCAGTACATTATTTTTAATTCTTTGTGGCTTATTTCTTGAATCGCTTAGCTTAAATCCATGTGGTTTTAAGTATTAGATGATGTCAAAGCAACCCTGCTTTGGATAGACAAAACTTGTTTCAGGATTCCAGATTCCAAAGTGTATGTTTGTGTATAGTTAGAAGACTTAGGATTGATCCTGACTTGCAGAAATAATTCAATACCATTTTTTGGAAAGCATTAGTTTTTGATTCACTGTTTTGGTAGGTACACTGGAGTTTGGCCAGTGCTCAACCCACTACATCCACTAAGCTATTATATGTGCTAGAAGTTTCTGTCATCATACTGGCCCTCATATACAAAGTTCTTTATGAAATTAAAGACAAACATGTCATGTAAAGACAGGTCAAGTTATACCATAAGGCATGAATTGAAGCTGTTGAAATCAATGTAGTTCTATGTAGGAACAACAGTTTGTAGAACGGGGTTTATTGTCAGTATAGCTTATGTTGCTTGGAGGCATTTTAAAAGCTCAAAAAGCCACTGCCAATCCAGACCAGCTGTTGTAGAGATGAACCAACAGAGGTGAGTAATCACTGTGATTTAACCACAGCCTTGGGTACATGACCACACATTTTCCACTGAGGGCTACTGAACACTCCAAATTTTTACTGTATGTTTGTTGTGATTTTTTCCTCTTTCAGACTAGAAGACTATACTAGTATGTTTCTAAATGCTTTTGCACCATTAAATATATGCATTACACTTTGTGATGACAAAACCTGTCTGGAAGAACAGGTTAATGAATCCAGAGCACTGAAAAAACACATGTAAATTGTAATTGTCACTTTTGTCACTAAAATTTCTTATGATGTATTAAATGATAATGATTTCTCATTTCAAAACTATGATGCAAGATTTTCTGTCACAGTATGCTCAATTTCAACTTTAAATTAAAAAAAAAACCCTGTAATATCCATGTAAATTTTGTTATTCTACAGAATGTTTCTTTTTGCATTTTCTTGTTATGCATTGTGAACTAAACTAAAGACAGGATAGAAAAGAAGTGGAAAAATAAAAAAGCCTTACCCTCGTGAAATGAAGAAGAATTAGCCATGGCAAAGAGATGTAAATAGGAAAAGTTGAATGCAAGATGTGTGGAAAGGAAAGTAAAGACATCACTGAAAACAGGGAAAAAGGAAACAAAAGAAAAAGTGAGGAGGAATGGGGAATGGTTCCTCTTAAATAATATACTCTGAAGGCTAGTTTTCCAATGGCTTTTGTAAAGTTGTGAAAAGAAGTAAATGCACGGACAACAGAAATAAGAGCTGCCATTATACCTACAATCAGCAGTGAAGTTGCTAAGAATTTTCTCTTGTCAGTGTAGTTTGGAAAATCGTAATCAGCACAGAATTATCATCAAGAAATTTACATGTGAAGTCACAGCTCTGCTGAACATGTTAAGGAAACCAAGTCATGAGCTATTATCTATATAAAAATAACTTTTTTATATATGCAACTCACAGAACATTATTTATAGTATTACACATCACCTCTACCTTGCTCAAGCATTTGTGATTTTCCCAATTGGTGAAGGGGGCAGAGAAAGTTTTTAACAGTGTGGGGTTTTCTGGTTAGACAACATTGACCCACTGGTAAAATACTACTCAGAAAATAATCAGGTAAAAGCCATTTCCAAGGGACCTACACAAAATGCAAGTTTTGAATCTGGATTCCCAATTCAGCTCAGCATATTGCTGCTCAGTTGTTGATGGCATTACTGATTTCGTTGTTGCTGACCAATTGTTTATTTTTTGAGAGATGGCACATGGAAGAACCCTGCATTTTCTCCTCCCCTATCACACTGGTTTTGGTCTCATCATAGAAAAGAAAAGGAACCAACTTAGAAATCATTAAAAATCCTTCACAGAATAAATAACTTTCTCCATCCAGCATTAGTTTGGTTTGCTTTAGTAACCAAAACTGTCTCTCCGTTGTTTTTGTCCATCTCTTTTCTCTGCATGAAGGGAACAAGAACTTTGGACTGGCTATAGGACTAAGAAAGTGGCAGCCACTTCCCAGCTTAACATCTCTAGTGCAAAGTAGCCAGGAGGTCCTGTGGTATTCATTTTCAGTGCACAATTCACCATGAGTACTTAGCATAAGCATGAAAGAGGGTGAGGCAACTTGCAAGTGATTGTTGCTTTTCCCCCTGTTCTCCCTGAGAGCTGGGAATGGCATTGGACTAATGGAACAATAAAGAGGAGCCCAGTAACCAGACTGGTCATGCATCCAAGCTGCTAAAGGCCATTTAACTTCAATATTCTTCAAAGGCTACTGCTAAGTCACACCTTGTCTGTCACGTAGGTCCACTCTAACCTGTTGTGTAAATTTGGATTTCTGAGAAGATGCCAAATGGTAGATTTAATCAAATCAATTTTGACAGGATGGATGAGCCTCAGAGAAGCTGAGGTTGTCCTTCCTACAGAGCACACGACATAGGGGCGAAACCAGTAAGATATATCACTTTTAAATATTATTTGGACTCATACAGCCAGATCTACCAGTGTTTTGGAATACACTGGACAACTCCACTCACACATCCATCATCTTTTCTAATAACTCATGTAGCCGCAAGACTTCTCCAACCCATTGTTCTCTTTGTAAGTAAATGAAACAAAATCACACACCATACATCTCTACAACTACGTTGCACCATAAACTGCTCTGAACTCCAAACCTCTCCTCATAGAAAAAGACATTAATTCACTCTGAATTAGTTTTCTTTATTAAATCTTGATTTATTGCTCTGCCCTCTCTTAAAATGTCTTTTATTTATTTGACAGTATTTTACACAAGCTGTCAAAAGCTGCCTGAAAATTTATAACAGTTCTGATCTCTGGATCCCCTTTCAATTCAAAACCATAATTTATTTATTTTTTTCTTTTAACAAGTTGTCTAACAGGCTAGAACGACATGATTTGCCCTTGTAAATGCCATTCTGGTTTGACCCTATCAAGTTATACTTATTTAAGTATTCACACTATTTTATCCTTGAGCTCAATAGGTTTTCTGTGTAAGTGGCAACAGGAGGACATCAGCTTAACCCTTTGCAACATGTTGTGGTTCAGTTTATGGGTTCTTGTTGACTCAAATTCTGCATCTTTAAAAAACCTCCAAAACAACCCAAATTCTTCCCTCCATTATCCTCCTCTCACCCTCCATGTCCTGGAAATGAACAAGAATTCCTATAAGTAAGATCTCCTGCCTAATATGTTAAGAATAAAACAAAATAAAACCATAATCAGCAAAACTAAAAAACTCTAAGTGTTTATCCTGATAGTGCTTCCAAGGAAACTAGAACAAGGAATAAAAAGTTTACTTCCATCACACACAAGTAGCATATGCTACATGCATCATAACTTTCAAGTAAGCAGAGTCTTATGTGCTTTGAAGCAAATTTGTAAACATAGTTAAGGAAAACTAAATGGTAGAATTTGTCTGCATTTCCATACCATTCCTTTCTAAGAGTCTCTACGATAAAAACGCTCATGCAATTTATCAAGAGCTTCTAGCTTTCCATATTTAAGCCAAATGAAAACCTGGGAAAAAGATACTACTTACTCCAGAAGAACCATAGCAACAGCAGAAGCTTTACAAAAAGCAGATATATGTATGCTGGAAAGCTCATAGACCTATGTGAAATGCATTTAGTGTTCTGTTGTAACATTGCAATTAAAATTCCTTTATAACCTAAAGTTCTGCTCCCAAATCTGAGGAAAAGGCGTGCTTAGCTGTTGAGAGGATGCTAGTGTACAGAAATGCTTTACTAATAAAGCAGCCTTTATTATTTACTATAAACCACCACGCCAAAATGACATTTCATGCCCCGGTGAAAGGTGGCAATGCTTACTCAGGCAGGATCCCGGGCTCTGCCTGTGACAAACACGGGTCTGTGGGCACAGCTGCGAGTGGAGAGCGACGGCAGCAGCTGCTGGGCTCTCTGAGCAGAGGCAGAAGATGGCTCTGGGGCTCGTGCCCACTGCCCCAGGACAGCACTCACAGCACCCTGCACTGCAGCACCCACCCAGCAAACACCATCGCTCCTACTTTGCCAGCTTGAGCAGGAAGGAGGGTGAGAGAAGACTGAAAAATAACCTGTGGTTGCTCCTTTCCAGGTGACTTCCTGAATAAATGGTTGATAGGTCAGGAACAGAAGTTGTTTACAATAGAAATTGAAACTGCTTTTAATTTGTGTGTGCAGTAAAATTTAGTCAAATTGACCTGAACTGTGTTTCTGTTCCTTTGTATTTGAAAGTGTAAAGATTACTAACTGCACCAAGCCCACAATCTTTTGCAGTATTAAAACCATGGCAGCACTATTACATCAGTTAAACAACTATGACTAATTATTGTTGGACTTCTCACTCGTTTCAGATTTTTAAACAAAAACAACAGAGCCTTCCTATTCAAAATAGCTCACTATTCCATATTTGCTTTTATTTTTTTTTTAAACAGAAAACCCCAACAAAACTATTTTAAGTAAAGTCGAAATGATTCTTTAATCCTGCAGTTAAAATTTGATATAAGAGCGCTCACATTCATTGCCAAATCCTCAATCTGCCTCTTGAATCATATAACAGTCACTAAAAAAGCAGAAACTTACACCATAAATTTCTTAGACAAACTGTAGAAAGCACCATAACTTACCGATGTCATTGCTTCTTTCAGAGGAGTCTTTCTCTAGAGTGCCGGATACTGTACTGCCCACTAATTCCACTTTTGGACTATCACTCCTGCATTTGGATCAAGAAGAGGAGATGTTTTATTGGGAGTTTTTGTGTGGGTTACAGTAAATTGATAGCTAACTTGCAATTAATAATGAGAGAGCAAAGTATTCTTCCTTTGCAGCACCAGAGTAATAGCAATGTCAGCGAGAGCAATCTCTAGCAAGTCGACATGCTGTATGGATTAACCTTATCCCATTTCTCCTTAACACCTGTCAAAAAAGCCTATTTTAGACACCGTAGCGTCCGGAATAATTCTTCAGATGTTCACAGCATCTCAACATGAAGGAAACCTAAGGGCAAGAGGACATTCTTCAACATCTTCTTCGTAGTTTTTTCTAATTAATTGGCTTTCACAAACTACAGCAGTGGTCTACCTGGAATGCTGCAGAAAGTGAGAGAATTGTGCATTTCAGAAGTTCCGAGTATTTACTCATAAATGCAACTCCTCCACCATAAGAAAAATAAGCATTTTTCTTATGAGACTAGACTGTGAATACTGTTTCTACAGTCCAAAGAACCAAGATCACCTAATTCGTCAGAAATGTCTTTTGAATAATAAAGTGTCAGGAGCTACAATACTTTATACAGAGGACCTATTTTAAAATCAAACAGGAGATGAAACAAAAGCAAGAAAATTATCCCTGCTTTGGAGAACATTCTATCCCACAAGTACTAAGTGTACTAAAATAAAACTTGTTTCTCACAAGTACTACAAGGGTACTAAAATAATCTACCAATTGAAACAATATAAAAAAAACCCCAAAAAACAGTGGTAGGCAAGTAACTCAGTATTGCACAGGTCACTCAAATCTCTGATATCTACTGTGATTAACTGTTCACTTAATGTTATACATTGTACTTGCCATCATTATCAGGTCACTTGATAAATACAGTAGTTTTTCCACTATGACTATTCCCAGTGTAACACTATAAGAAGTATGATGTAATCAAGGTACCCGATTTAGGGATAAAAATACAGATCTGCCCCAAAACAACCCAGGCAGATATGTATGATGCAATGCAATAATTAGCTGTTGACAGTAAAATAAGTAGTGAGCTCAAAAATCTTGCTGCTTTTTTTTGTTGGTCTCTGCTTTTGATACCATAAGCTGATGACAGATGGCCTGAACCTTAACTCATGGCAGCAGCTTATGAGCAAAACACAAAGTGGCTGGAAACCCTATTTCAGGCTTCAGGAAGGCTGTGATAAAGAGCTGAAAATTTTTATTAAAACCCAGAGGAAGTCATAGATTAAGTGAATATATATCCCATTAAATCCTGTGTGACAGACAAGTGAACAAAAAAATATAGACAATCAGATTAAAAGCAAACTAGTCCTTCACAGATCTCAGTATGGCAGGCAGTCTGCACCAGGAAGGACACAGAAGAAATTTAACACATGCATAGAAAAATGTATTAATTGGAAAGATGATAAATAAGAGTATTTCCAAGTGATCTACCCAAACAATTAGTTTTCTTACTTTTTAAACTTTAACTTTTTCTTATATTGCTTATATATTTGTAAATCTATAAGAAGCAATAGTTTCTTGGCTGACAGAGCAATGAGCATCTGACTGCATACTCTGTTTTGTACACATACATTTCCCAGCAATCTGAGAGCACAATGTGAGCTGGAAACACTCTAGGAAATGTGTGAGTATGGCTTTGGAGAGATTTTTAGAATGGCATGATTTAGGGCTGAAAGTCACAATGTTTACCATTTTTCTACAAAAGATACCAAGATATATGACAACAGCCCCATAAAAAAACCTCCAGCCCTGTTCTCAGAAGAATTAACAGGCTTATTATGCCACTCTGCATTCACACAGTTGTGAAAAGAGTGGAACCCTCCCTTCTCATTCACAGTGTCTCCCTCTCTGCTCGTGCCCATACAGACAGGCTGTCAGCTTGACCAGACATGATCAGCCTGAGAGAAACTCCACACTAATAGAAGTCCCACTGCAAATGGATTAATTTCCATCTGGAGCAACTCCCTGACCCATACGGCTGCGCAGCTGCACAAATGCTGGTGCTAAACATAAGGGAGGCTGTGGGAATGGGGTGCCAGGACAAGGAACCCTGTTAGCAGTGGTATGGACATGGACTGGTTTAAACTGATTGCAAAGATGCACCTTCTTTAGGTGTTTATGGCTTACCTACTCCATAGATTTGACTTAGATGTAAATTGTATAATCACGGTATGTCTAAGTAAGCTGCAAAGCCTTTGGAACAAACCGACAGCTACTCCCTGTCCCACATGGTTTTTATGTGTCCTACTGCCCTTGAAGACCTACTCTGCCTCCACTGAAGGAGGATTATATTTAAATGGGAAAACAACCATCATTACAAAAAGTCAGTGAGATGCATAAGATGCAAGCCACTTACTCAGGACAGAAGAAAACTCTTTGGCTTAGCAGCTGCCATGGAAATCTCATGGGACTCACTTTGTAACTACAGCAATTTTCCCCTAAGGATCATGTACTGGTTTTGGATGGGATAGAATTAATTTTCTTTATTGTAGCTTGCATGGTGTTATGTTTTGGATTTGTGCTGAAAACAGCATAGATAACAGAGCGGTGTTTTCATTATTGCTGAGCTGTGCTTGCACAAAGTCAAGGCCTTTTCTGCTCCTCCTGTCATCCCACCAGAGAGGAGGGTGGGGGTGGACAAGGAGCTGGGTGGAGACCCAGCTGACCCCAACTGACTGAGGGGTGTCCCACACCACATGGCATCATACTCAGCCCTTAGAGATGAGGGAAAAAGGAAGTGGAGGATGTTTCAAGTTACACCATTTGTTTTCCCAAGTCACCACTGCAGGTGATGAAGCCCAGCTTTCTAGGGGATAGCAGAACACCTGCCTGCCCATGGCATTCTTTGCTTGCACATGCATCATTTTCTTCTCCTGTTTAATAGTCCTTGTCTCCACCCACAAGTTTTTTCACTTTTGCCCTTCCGATTCTCACCCCCATCCCACTGTGGGGGAGTGAGTGAGTGTCTGCACAGCTGCCCACCAGGGTTAAACCACAACAGGTGAGCCAAAGTTCTTCTGATTTAATTTTTATTCTAATTGCTTTAGGTTATTCAGATTCTGGAAATGGATACCAGTAAGTCTTAAAATAATTACTATCCTATTAAGCTGAATGGATTTTTAAAAAATCACCTTTATTGAAGTGACTGCTTCCTCAAGTTTCTTATTTCTTAATTATCCAAGCAATTCAAAGTATTTTCTATTTTTTCTGTGCTAGACATAGCAAAGTTTAGACAATTAAGAACATGAAAAGATTACTGTTTAGGTGTGCCTTTTGCCTTTGATAATGCAAAAATTGAAATATCTTTAAAAAATACATGGTTACATCATACAATTTTGTACTTAAAAAAAAAAAAGGAAAACAGAAGAGCAGCAAAATACCCTTCCAAAATTCTAAATGCTAAAAATTTATAGTATGTTTAAAATATTTCAGGCAAAGGATAGAACAAAAGAATAGCTACTGCTGTGCATACCTCACTAGAACTGAACACTGGGGTATGCATTGGTCTTTCCAAGACATCACATAGCTAAATCTGAAGATTATAGCAAATACTTGTATCTCCAAGTATGCCCAGGTGATCAGCAAGTATGGACTGTATTTTGGAGCAACTGGACAAGCATGTTCAAAGCCAAGTCCAAAAGAAGCTGTGGCAGTAGCACCTGGATACAAGGGTAAGTTCTCAGAGGTGTACAACCAAAGTATTTCAGTAAGATAAAACTGGGAGCACAAGGCAGATGCCTTTTTTCATTTGCCCTAGATTCCTCACTAAGAGCATTTTTAAAATTTAACCATGTGTGGAGGAATGAAGGGAACCAATGTCTAGCATTTCACTCTAACCTATACTCTATTCCAGTATTTAACTCACCATTACTATACTTTAAGTCCAGTAGTTCAATGGTAGCTAATTTTCCTAACAGTACAATAAACAGTAAAAATATTTCCATGAATATATTCTAGTTTTATGGCAGGATGCACAGCTTGCCCATTTTAGACCACTGTTTTTATTCTGGTTTTCATCTAGCTCTATTCACTATACATAAAGGAAATCTACAGTGCACAACCCAGATGATGATGACTAAAATGTAGTCAACCTAGACTTAATTAGGACTACAGTGAGGCCTTTAATTTCTGCAACCTTTACTCTAGCAAAGAATAAATGGACTTGTGTTAGCAAGTCCAGTTTCTCGGTGCTCCTCAAAGGCTGTAAGCACCTCTGACAATAAGCATCATATAACTGCAGATTGACTACCAACATTAAAGCATGAATACTTGACAGCACTGTTCTACAGTGGCACCAGCTGAAAGAGCAGTGAAGACATGTATTTTGCTGAAGTTTGATCTGAAATGATCAAAGAAAGCAGACTGAAACCAGCTGATAGTATTTGAAACGTACATTGCCTAATGCTATTCCTAAGCACAATCCAAGCCACTGATTCAGTGCCCAAGCTAAGCTGCAGTAATTTAAGGTAAACTAAGAAAATCAAGATTAGACTAACATTCTGATGCAAGTATTTCCCACACATTCTGCACTATTGCAGTAACAGCAGAATTGCATCAGTAGAAATGAACTAGTCATGAACAGTCTAAGACTGTTATTATTGAGGAGATGTTATGACCCAGCCAGATGACTATAAGGATCATCTTTTTTTCTTGTTCTTTCAATACAGCTTACTGTGAAATAAATCAGGACATCAACTGTAAAACCTAAATTCTTTAAAAGGGTGGTTTTCCCACTAATCCCAAAAGCATTGGATGGAAGAATAGCAATACCTTGCATGAGTCACAGGCACAACTGGTCTTTCTGGTCGTCTCGGGGGCAAGGTACCAGGTCTGTTCACAGCGTTGGCTTTGGGTGGACGAGGTTTCTTCGGAGGTATAGCAGGAACTGAAGGCTTCTGCAAGTCTAACTGTTTTTGCTCTCTCTCTGATCTTTCTTTAAATCAATCATTTCCAGAAAAAAAACCAGGGATATTATTAAGTGGAATTCATTTGCACTCACAAGTCTACATTCAAAGAAGAAATCTTCAGCTGTAGATAGACTGCATACAAAAAAACCCCTTTCCATTTCTGTTCTAAATCACTCTTTATTTGATATATTTATCACAAATCACTTGTTCAACCTGCCTAGCTGTTCTGCCTGCAGCTCCTCAGCCAAAACAAGTGTGCAGCATCTTAATGGGAATACTATTTTTTATTTTAGTAACTTACTGGTTTCTGACTGTAAAGTAGAAGAATGGCAAGAATTTACATACCAGATGGTACAACTTCCCATGAGCACAACTTATATTAAATTTTAATATGAAACAATATTAATTTAGAAGGTCACAAAAATAATTATGCTGGATATTCTTAACATCTCTGGGGCAAACAGAGAAATACCATTTTTGGAGGGGAAAAAAGTATGTTTCAAGTGAACTACAGTTAAGTGAAAATAAAATACAAGCACAAAAATACAATGTCTAGCAGGACATAAACCTCTCAGAAAAATCAGACCTATTATTTAGGTTTTAAGCACAGACTTATATGCTGAATTTTTCAGCTTGCTGATGAAAACCTTGATCATTTGCAGAACTGATTATGCATAGTTAGGGAGTTCTGCCATGTTAATATCCAATGCCAAACATGTAATGCCTGTGCATGTGCATATTAATAACTTTTCTAAATAATATACTCTAAATTCCTAATACAAAACAAACATGCAAGCATGTTTGCCACACCAGAGAAGACCTGATTTTTCTTAAAGAAAGGACAAAACTCTCCAAGGAAGTAGAGTTCTGCTCTCTATATCCTACTATATCAACACCCCACTTCCCTTGATAATGCTGCCTATGATATGCCATGAATGTTATACCTCTGTACACACATAAGAGGTATTGGGAATGTTCCAGGGCATTGCTTAATGGGTTCTTAATGACAACCCATTAATGAGATGATCATGGAATAAGTCCCCAGAAACACAATGCACATTAGGTTTGGAATAGTCCAGCTAGTGACTCCTGTTCACAGGCAGTATGCTCTGAGCAGATGCAGTCATTGGCTCCTCAGTAACACTGAAGCTTTTCCAGCATACTGTGTAATTTTTACACACTTAATCCTCTGACAATTTGTACTGTGTCAGTGTCCAGGAATCTAAATTGTATGAGGGACAGGCTGGGCAGTGTGCCAACACACAGCTCAAAGGATGTTCCTGTGCCACCCCTGCTGCCACACTGCATGAGCAATTCCTGCCACTCCCTGGTACTCCTGAAATGTAGGCTTCACTCCTACAGCCTCCTTTCAATGTTTAGAAAAGTTACAGATATTTATAGCCCAGGAGCACAACATATTTAAATTTTCTCTGCTTTTTCAGCAGTCAGCTTTGTAAACCCAAAAATGGAAAGCAAAGAGTTTTATTGCTAAGATAACCATGAGAAGAAGCACACATAAGCAAAAGTAAACCTGTGTAGAGGAGCAGCTAAAACACCTGTCAGGTTTCTAAGATGTATATACAGAAAGAGATCTTGGTGCAAAGTCTGAAAGTTCTGTCACTAAATTATAACTGCACATTCTGCATTTAGTCATGTGCATACACGTGCCTTTGAAAAGGCTGCAAGTTCAAATACTTAGACATTAAGAAATCCCATAAACAAACTTGTTCATACAATCTAATAGTCCACTTAACGTATGAAACTTGACACCATCTTCAATTAGAGAATAGATGTAACTATTTTCCTGAGACTATTCACCATTCACAGTGAACACAATGAAACCATTAAAGGTTTAATTTGCTTGTCCCTGCTCTGTGTGGTACTGTGTCCCACTTCTAGCAATGTTCAAACATGGCTTTGAAGAATTTTTTTATTTCTTCACTGCCTTGCCTGTGACTTTTGTGACTGATAATGGGGTGATTCATAAGCATTAATGACTATATCTCCACAAAATCCCTTTGTGATGCAGGAAAACCACCAACCCAGCTTTCAACTAGAGAACCAAAGCAGACAGATGTTAAGAAAAAAGTACACAGTAATCTCTGGTATTTTACTCGATCAAGCACCTGGGTTTTACAGAGCATTTCATGGGGTTTTATACAGCATTTCATGTATTGAGAGCAAATCTCCCCTTGACTTCAGTTGTGACTGCATGTACTCAACAGCTCTAGATGGGTACAATTGAACACCCTGAATTTAGTCCATAAGCAACAATGAGAGCCTTTCCAAAATGCCTATCATCACAGTCTATCAGAGTGGAAAACAAACATCCAAACAATACACTTAATGGAAACAGAGTGGGAAATGAGGATGTGCATTGGTTCTATTTCCCTCATCTCTCTGCAGAGAATGGGCAGGAAAGCACATTTCATACCTTTTTCTTCTGTTCGATTAGGAAGACATTCTGGCCTTTCAGGTGGTATCTTCTTGATTTCATGCTTTCGATCTGTGGTCCCTGTCAAAGACAGAAACATTTGGAATTCTGGCCAAGCCAACAAAACAGTGACATAAGATTTAATTCTGCAATTTCTTAGGCTTTTTATAGTTTCCAATTTGAAAATTTCTTGCTAAAAATGAACATAAATTTGTACCAAATATTCACTCTGTAGCATAATGACAAAAAAGCAATTGGATATTGATGTCTTTATAATCAAGTTCACAGTTTCCAAAGTGTGCACTCCCAAAGAATAGACAGTCTCAGGCCATTCTATGGGGAAAAAAAAAATTGATAACTGCAGATTTTATCATTACAGACATAAATGAAGAGTAACTCAACAGTGTGCAGAAATATTAGGAATAAATCAATTAATTGAGCAATGTCAAGAAAATACGTGATCGAGCTGAGTATACAGAGGTTATTTTACATTAAATTAACACATCCCTCCCCTTTTTCTCCACTCCTATTAGCTGTTCACATCCACACATTAGAAGGAGGAGAAGAGCAGTGCTGGCAGCATTCTGAATGACTATTTTAATTGACAGCTTTTGGCCTGAAGGTGTAAGCCCCTGGGTTTTTCTGCCTCTGTACTAGAGGGCCTGACATACAGACTTCTGTTGCTCCAAGAAATATGGGAACTTGTGGCACCAGCAACGGGAAGATTTTGCAAAAATTTCCTGGCACCTGCAAGATAAAATCTTCTAATCCGTGTGTTATAAGAAACACTTTATGGGATATTGGCTTTGCTGCATTGGCTAACCACTAGGTGCTAATGCCATTTCAACTTAGTAGTGTTGAAAACCACTTTAGGTAACACTATTAGCATTTCAATAAAAATTACAGTAGATGAAATCCAAGAAAAGCAGAGGAGGCAGGGCAAGGAGCACAAGGCAATTTTTTGTTCCAATCTATTCTATTATATGCCATTCTCAAGTGTAGTTACATTTTCTGAATGTGATGTTGCAACTCCCTTCTGCAGCTGGTTCCTAGAAATCAGTACTCATCAGTGGTGATCACCAGCCATTGTTTCTTTACCCAAGTGTGCTGTTGGACAGGCAACAGTACCACATATCATGTCAATAAATAATACTGAATTCTCACTTATAGTTGGATTTGGTAATCTTACGGGTCTTTTCCAACGTAAATGATTCTATGAAAAAGACTTCACTGATGAGAGGGGAAGATGTTGCTCCAAAGCAATTAAAGCCTTTCAGAACACAATTTATGCAAAGCACAAGTCAACATATTGATAATGTTGCACACACTAGTGTGTTCAAAAAGAAAGACTAGTCTTTATAGGTATATAAGTCTATATACCTAGTTACAGTAAGATTAACAGTTATCATTAACACACAGAGAGACATTCTCAGGCCAAGCATAGAACAATGAGCCTACAGCCACTAAGGAGTTCCCAGACCCAGCTGTTCTTCCTACTTGGATTGTGACCCCCAAATTAATCAACGCCCAGGCAGGTATCACAATCCTGCCTTAGCTCCCAGGTGACAGTCACCCTCAAGAAAGCTTTGGGAAGCTTGGTATCAGCTCCCAGAGGCACTCAAGAGTATTTCCACCCTTCAGCCTGGACACAGTTTTGTTGCCTACCCCAGCTACCCAGTGAAATGCCTACTGCTTTTCAATGAATATAGGTAAGGAACTTGTGCTCCTAAATTCGGCTCTCCAGTTTTCACCTTGCTTTGTAAAGTAGTGCAGCACAGATGGTCCTGGCAGTTTACTGCTGCAGAGATTATAAATTTCTATCTCTATAATAATACAGATACCTCTTTACACATATGCCACTTGTACTACAAAGACAAGTTCTAATTTTCTGCTTTAATTTTATGCTCTGCATCAGAAGATGCTGACATTTAATTATTTAGGCTGAAACTGACAGTTTTAAATTTCTTCATCACACTGTGATGGTCAAATATGCAGAAGCATTATTGAAGTTGTTACCTACTATCAACAGTAAGACTTGATGTGGAGATGTGGTAAAATACAGTGTAATCTCAGTGAAGAAATAATTTTACAAAGTAGAGGATGTCAAGGTGGTAATAAACATATGATTTGGTGACACAGTTTAAGCATTATATGTGAACAGGTACCTATTAAAAGTGTTATTATCTAATTATAGGAGTATAAATTGAAATAAATATAAAGTTTTATAGAGTTTTTGCAAAACATGTCAGGCTTTAACATCAGTGGTCACTAAGATATTGTTATACAACCACCACTAGATGGCAAAGTCATACTGCTCTCTCTGGACACTATCGCTGATTTAAAATCAAATTTATGTTTCCATGAGTCTCAAGACAGAGTGAAGAACAAACCAGGATAAGAAACACAAATATTTATGATCATGATTCTGTAGTTAAAGAACTGCATGACAAATTCAAACAAGTTAAATTATAGCATATTGATTCACAGTAAATTGTATATTGGTTTAAGTTGCATTTCTACTAACAGCTTAAGTCTGTAAGAGAGGAAAATTTACTTTTTAAAGTACCGAAAGCTGGAACACATCACAGTAACAAGAAAACTATCTGGAGATTTGACATATTTGTTTTGGTTTTTAATGTGTGCCTGCAGTGGGGGAAGCAGTAGTGCTGCTGCAGAGTTTTTACAAACTGACTGGACTTAAGAGATTAAAGAACTCCAGTTATGTTATGTTTCCACCATAACTGCAATAGAAATGAAAACTCTGAGAGCATCCCCTTGTACTTTGTATTTTTACACTACTGGAACTGAAATTTGATTTATGAGTTCGGGACTGTCAAATGCGTAGATTCTTTAACTGTTTCTAAGTTTCATGATAAAAATAAATCATGCAGGCACTTTTGAAAATTAGTATGGAGAGGTCATTTTAAAATTACAAGTAGAAGTGTGCATAGCTCTCAGCATCTACACACAATTCTGTATAACACATCACAAATTTGGTTTTGCTAGAACTTGTCTGTTTGGAAAACAGAATCACCCCTTAATACATTTGTGACACCTTTATCTACATAACCATTCAGAGTAACTCCTTTTAGTTTCATACTTGGAGCTACAGAAGTGTTGAAAACCAAGAATCTATGGCCTCTAACCTGGAGCAGCCAGTCAGATCCAGCATTCATGCAGATCTGCAAGCCTTAGATTGCAGCTCAGAGGAGACCACTGTATGACACTATTCTATAGGTATTCTAAAAAGATCTGTGTCTCTAGAATAAATCAGATCTGCTGTGAATGCAGTTTCCTCCTGCAGGTATTATCAGAATCCATATAACGTGTCTGTACTGCAAGGACATGCACACAATCAACTTCAGTCAGTGAACAAAACAAAAAAAAAAAAAAAGAAAAACTCAAGTATCACCCCTGCTTTGATTTAACATGATTAAGTTTAATGATTAAATCATTTTGAAGTGGTATCGATGGTTGACTGCAATACTTTTAAAGCCCACCAGAGTCTTTCAGGGTTACCAATTATTTCCATTTTGATTGTGATTTATTACTTGTTGTCTAGACAATTGATTGTCAATTTTAATACAGATGGATTCTATATAAATTTGAATACACTTAATTTAGATTGAGATGTGCTCACTGACATGTGCTGTAAAAAGTCAACTGCATTTTACCTGATCCTTGTTTGATGACAGGAGCTGATGGAGGTGGTGGTTTCTTCGGTCTCTACAATTTAATAACAGAAGAAAACAGGCCTGTAAATCTCATTCATACAGAGGTTGGAGTTAATCATAAAGTGCTTAACATTAATAATTGCAAGTCATGAGACTACAGATCTGCCACATATTTCTCCTGAAATAACTTCATTAAAATGAAGAGAGAAAATAGCATTGACAAATAAAATAACTTTTTTATATTAGCAACTGAAATGTCCTGCTGAGGGGTTAAAAGTGTTCATTTTATGTACCTTAAGACTGGAGGAATACATGACCTTTGATCTAATGAAGAAGTCTATTTCTTTTAAATTTAACCTTGTAAATATTCTAACACATTTTGCAAAAAAAACCCAAAAAACAAAAAACCCAACAAAAACACAAAGAAACTCCAAGATACATGCGGCAAAACCTGAAGTATTTTCAGATCATAAATGAGGCAAAACCGCAGAACCAAATACAGCAGAAGTTACCCTTTATTCACTTACTAGGATATATTTAAAGTTCCAGTTGTGAAAGATCAGAACTTTAGATGTTTGGTGAAATGAAACAAATTATTCTGACTAATCTGTTCTTTTTATACTTTTACCTTTTCTTTTATGATGATTTTCCTAATAGATCTGTAATGGTAAGACTGAGAAACAGTCACCAAAGTTTCTGGTAGTCCTGGAACAATTCCTCTTCACCTGCAGGCTGGAGGACTGATGGCTTTTCTTCTGTGCTGGTGTGTGAGAATGCATGCACAGCACACTGGCAGTCACCACATGTATGTTGGAATGAGTGCAAAACCAAACGGAGCATCGTGCTACATCAAATGACATACTTTATCTCTGACTTTAAAGAAACCCCAACAAACTAGCAAGATTATTGTAAAGAAATTGTAAGTAAAAAAAAATAAAAAAAAATTTCCATATGTTCATTCTTTTTTTCTGATGTTCATCTTTTTTCCTTTGCTACAGATTAATCACAATCACTTTCACTACATTGCTGGCTATGTAGTAATGTATATTGTCTTGTGGAACACATGTGGAATGAAATGATTTTTCCAGATATACACTGCCAAACTTCAATCAGCCATTTAGGTTAGTATTTTCTCTCAAACTCTTATTGATCCCTGCCCTCCCTCCAATTATTTTCTATCTATCTGCCAAAGCTTTTGAGAAAGATCAGTTGCTTTGTTCACTTGCACTAATTAGTTCAGTGTCTGCCCTAGAACTCTCAGATCTTGGTCTGAGTGTTGAAAGAGAGCAGGTTTGTTGTAAAGGCTGAGCGCTTGCCACATACCCTTCCAAGGGATCTCTCTCAAATCTAGCGAATTTATTGATCTCTGGAGAAAAAAAATACCAGTTTTTGCCTAGACAGGGTAAGTCTAACATCCTGAATCTCAAAGTTGTCATCCAGCAACCTTCAAGTTTCTTCTACCATCTTACCCTGACCAGCTCACCTTCTGTCATCAACCTGAGAAAGCTGTGGTTAAGAACTCAGGAGATCAGAGTGATCTTCTACAGCCTGGCTGCCATGGGCCATTGTCCACCAACAATGAGTCCCTTAAACTCACAGAGACACTTCTACAAGAATTTAGGTTTAAGGTTTAAATGCAGAAAAGTGAAGAAAAATTTGGAAAGGAAACGAGACAGTGAATGTTCTGTGATAGGCATTAGGAGTTCTGTTGATAGTGGCTGCAGAGTGAAAGAGTTGATGCTGAGGATTCAACAATACAATACAGGCATTTGGGGTTTTATTGGAGAGTGGTGTGAGACTGATCCCATTGACTGGCAATACACCAGCAGCTGGAATACAAGAGATGCACTCCCTTAGCACATCTTTTGGCTTAGCTCTCTCCTGTAAGGGGTCTAAGTCCCTGAGATGTGTCTTCCAAAGCATAACAAAGTGCAGACAGACAAGTGACAGATTCACTACAGTCACTCCTGATTAAAACCAAAGCACTTATGTAGACAAACACAAAGGAAAAAGAGTTGATGTAACAAAGTGGCTTTAAGTGAAAGCTGAAGAGGGAAATAGATTGTTTCAAAAGGACAGGTCAAGGTCAGAAAGGGTGCAATGTGAGTAGCCTCAAAAGACTCCTTGGGGGAACATGGAAGAGAGAAGGATTTACAAGGGTCTGTGCCTGGATGAGATAACCAGGAAGGTGATGGAGACAGACTAGAAATTAGGTCAACAGCAAGGAAACCAGGACTGGTTGGACAAGAGAACAGAGCTACAGAGGAGGGACAAAGAGAAAAAGGGGAGAAGAAAAAAAAAGGTGTATAAAGAAATTTGGTATAGGGGTAGAAAGTAAATCCAGATGGTGGTTTGGACTCAGGTAGTGAGCTCAGTGGAAAATCCTGTAATGGAGACCACCTGGGAGGTGGAGACTGGGACTAGGCAGTGAACAGAAAAGACCTGGAATAAACAGGCAAATGTGGAAAAGAGTCAGGCTTGGAAAACTAGGGCCTGAACAAGAAGATGGGAAGAGATCCCAAACTTTTGTTGAACAGACAGAAGAACTAGTGCAACAAATACTTTCAGACCATGGGATGGAATCCAAGGTCTCTGGATCACATCAGAAAATACCTGACAAAGTCACTGGTAAAGTATTTATCTCCTTCCCTTTTAGCATTGATTCAAGAACAGACAGATGGTCTATAGTCCTACCAGTTACTTACTCAAGTGGCCAGATCTGTGGCATTTCAAAAATTAATAAAATTTTATTTTCCATGGTTAGAGCAAACCTAGCTGCAATTTCCAAGTATCTGAATATCTAATTTATTCTACAAGTTATATTCAATTGTACTCTAAAAATCACTTTAAACATACATAATTTTTAAGTTCAAAAAGACTAAATAATTACACCACCAAAAAAGGATACCAGTAAGGATTTTTTTCTTCTATAATAGGCTCACTATGTCTTCAGGTTTTTGATTTCTGCCTCTTCTACAAATCACCTTCTTTTATTTTTAGGCCTAAAGCCAGGATATGCACTTTGCTGTAGAACTGCCTTTTCATCTCCCACAGTTTTTGCTGCTCTTCTCCTTTCCTTTTCAATAAATATCATGTTAACCTCTGTGAGTTGTTTAATAGTTGCTTTATTAAGCTTTCCAAGTTATTTAATTTTTGCCTTCGGCATCCAATTTTATTGCCAAAGAGTGAAGCTGGGCGTCAGTAAATTTTGGTTTTATCACAGAAGGCTTGCACTGTCACTGTGAAATACTCATCAAAAGCCTGATTGCAAGCTTGTAATATCCCACTGATGACTCAAAAGGCTCCTAAAAATGGAATGGACTTTTGGGGGAAGTAATCCATTACTTTATGCCAGGAAACCACAAGATTTCTAAATATTGTCTGGCAATACCATCTTTTTCAAATAAATAGGAGCTGAAAAAACTTCTGCATAGGTTTCATACCTTCTTTTTTAGTAATCCTGAGAGGTAAAGAAACATGCCTCTGATATACTAAAAGCTTATTATATTTCAAATTTCACTGTTAAAATCTTGTATTATATATATTTATATATATACTTCTCATATTCCACCACAAAATCAATGGAGAAGATTAAAGAATTCTGGATGCCATTGCATCATATGACTCAATGCTGGGACCTCCAGTTCTTCTCTCTCTCAAACTTGTAGGACACAGGACAAAGGGTTTTCAGAGCAGCATAGTGAAGGTGGGGTGACTGGATGGGCAAATCAAACCCTTCAAGGAAACTCTGTAAGATGACTTTGAGTGCCATACATTCTTTTTCTAACCCAGAATTTTTTTTTTCCTTTTAAGTTATAAGATGAGAAGTAAAACATTGTCAAAATCACATATCTGAAAGAAGATTTCTTTCAGCTCTACTTTCATTCTGAATTTTCAAGCGAAAATAATATATTGCTTACCTCTTTTTCAAAATCTGAAGGGAGTAGCTTGACAAAGTTATCTGGAAAGACACCTCGTCTGCCATTGAGTTCTCCTTCCCACCAACCCACATCAATGCAATCCTACAAAACAGTAAAATAAAATGAAAACCACAGTGTGCTTGTGCACTGAGCAGATTTTTGAGCTGAAGTATTCTCTTGCATAATGTCCTGCCTGTTTGCTAGAATATGACAATTTGCTGGAGTACCAGGTTAACAGGGTAATCTCTCAGACAAAAACTTCAATAACCACCCTGCATTCCATTATCACAGGGAGCAGCTAGAAAAGAACAATGAACATGCTGTAAGAGCTCAAGACCTTGTCTGTGTCCAAAACAAAGTGCTAGTTCACCATTTGATCTATTAAACCAGTCAGCATTTTGAGCATGCATGACCCTATGTCTCTCTGACTTCATTCTGCAGAAAGACAATAACTTAATTAAACATCATACATCAGAAGATAAAAAAAGCTCCCTTATTTCCCATACTTCCAAAAGAAAGCTTGACACATTGGAATTATTAAATTCCATCTCACTCCAATTTATAAGGGAGTGAACATCATGCACCTGGATTAATATCAGGCATCACCTTCCTTTTCTGCAGCATTTCTGAGCAGTACAATGCAGAGTGTAAAGCAAAACAAAGTACAGATAAATAAGTGAATAAGTAAATCAGTGATTCTAAATGATTAAAAAATAGCAGTTATTTTTGTTATGAATAATAATAGTGACAGAAGCCACAACATTTTAGAGAAGGTTGAAGTTGTTCCCAAAGTCCTCAGTGCTCTATATTCACTTTTTTGTGTGTGTGTATTTGCTACATAGAACACTTCCTGTTGAGATTTTCCACATTCTTTTTTCCTGAAAGCTCAAGCTGTAACAGCTCAGCTGTTTTCCAAAACACAATTACAGGAAAGTCACCCATTGTCTGCTCAGTCTTAAAACCACTTCAGCCAATTTTTGCAGTTGGCTCAATATCAGGCTGGTCAACTTTTCCTGATTTCCATAAAATCTTTTATTTCAGCTGCTAAATGGATGACAAAACAATGCAGGTTAACTTAGTGAGACGTACTTAATACACCTTAGTATAAGGTTACTTAAGGTTAATAAGTTACAATAGACAAACACTGGATGATATTTGAGAGAAAACAGACTTGCTTTTATGCTTTGGGGGTGGTTTTTGTTACTTTTCTGTTCTAGACTCTTTATTTAGGTTATTTAGTTCTCCTGGTCTCCTGAGTATGTGCTAGCTAAACATGCCAGCTAAAGAGCCTGGTTTCTTACATCATGACTGTTTTGGTGCATTTGGATTTCCCCCCCTCCTATCTCAGTATTTTTCTCTGATGTAATGCAGGCACAAAACAATCCTTTCATTCTTTTTTTGATAATCTTTTCTCATGCCCAATCTTTGCTTTTCTGTATTCTCCCTTCTCTGTAGCAGGGTGGCCTCCACCAGGGAGGACAATTTCTAGGTCTTCCCACAGTTATTTAGGAGTATTAGTTATTTAGGCAGTATTTACCAGCTCTGTAAGACCTTTTTTAGTGACAAGGGCTGATTCTTGACCAGCTGATGTTTTCAAAACATCTGCTGAGTACCTACAGGGCTGTCAAGGGCTCCATGGAGGACCAAGATAATCAGCCAGTCATGCATGGCATGGGCAGGCACTGTGCAGGATTCTGCCCTTGCTACAGAGCCAGTGCCCCTCACTCCTGGTGTGAAGGCGCTCTCCCACTTGGCTCTATCTACTTGCACAGCCTAATAATCAGTGCACTCAACTGTTCTATCACATGGTGTGTTTTATAATGCCCTCCACCCCCTACGCTGCTAATCTGAAACTGCCTAAACATTTATGACCCAATTTAGATTTTGAAAAATATTAAGAATAATTCAAGCATCCAGAGACGAAAAGCTTGTGCTTCAACTGATTGCACAGCTTAGTGCTAGCAAATAATCCCGACTGAACAGCACAAGACATCACATATATGCTTTTTAGGTAGGATATTTTATTCTCTTAAGAAACACAAATATTACTCCTACTTCTTCATTTTATTAACACATGTGAATTTTTTCCTCAATGTTTTTTGAAGCTCATTTGTTTTCATGGAGCTGCTGTTTGTGTCACACATTCATAAATCCCAAACATCCGCAGGTTTGCTTTTTTCCCCCTCTCTAGCTCATCACTCAGGCTTATGCAGCCAATCACCACAGCAGATTTTCATACAGTAAGTAAATCTCTTTAGGCAGTTTCTCTTTAATTTTCTCATTTAGTTCACTTGCAAGAGGAGGCTTATGGGTCACTGAGAAAAAGATAAAGAGACTTTAGAAGCTAAAAGCTACTGATGAAATCTAGTGAAGAATCTCCATGGTGGTGCCCTCCTGCTACCCGCAACTGCAGGCATGCCATGCCCCAGCAACCTGTGGAAGCCAGCCTAAGGTGCAGGTAGAAGGTGTAGGAATCCAGAAATGGAGAGACAATTCTCTGTTTGTCCTGTTCTCCAAAAAAAGTATCAATCCTATTTGCCATTGACAGAAAGGCTTCCCAATATCCCTGGGTAAACCAGGATTTATAAAAAAAATAAGTAGAAGGTGGTAGAATGTTTAGTATGCCACTGAGGTGAAAAATATAGATTTTTAGAGGGGTTTAATGGAGTAAAGATGGAGGAAAAAAGGTGTGGTTTTTAGCTCTTCTTCTTCCTTCTTCTCCATGATTCTGCAGTTTTTGGGACACAAAGAATGATTGGCTGAGAGTTACTTGCAGTTTTAGTTATGTAAGTAGATATAGAAAACTTACTTGTTAAAATATAAAAATATTTTTATATTTTAAAAATATATATATTATATATAATATATATATTCATATTATATATTAAAATACATGTCTGTAGTTAATAGGGTAAAAATAGATATAAGGATGAGGCAGCTGCTTGGTTCAGGGCCATTTTGTACCATCAGAGCAAAAGGAGCCAGGTTGAGGTGAATTGAACTTGTGCAGATAGTCTGGAGAGACCTGCCAAGTTTTGTAATAACATTCTAATAAACATGAGAAACAAGATTCTAAAAAGCTTGGGAGTTTTCTTCAAACCCAGAGAACTGAGATAAACAGGACTCCCCGTGAGGGAGGATCCCAAAGGAGCTCAGCCCAAAGGGGACTGAGAAATCCAGGAGTAAAGAAAAATACAGAAGAAGTACAGCAGAATCGAGAGAAGAAAAAGAATTAGAGAAGTTACAGAAGGTAGGTCTTAATGGTGGGACAGAGCAGCACACAAGCACACCTGAGTTACAGCCCCACCAGCCGCCACAAGTACTGACAGAGGGCAGAGCTAAGAAGCACGATCAAGGCAGTGTGATTAAAACAATGTGTCTGCTTGTGAACACTGAGCAAAAACCACTCCATTTCTTCCAGATTGCCATCAGCCACGCAATCCTAACCGTATTGCCTTTTTTAACATATCTTGTGGTTATGTGTTCATGCACAGCAAAATGGCTGTAATTTCAAAATGCAAATTTTATAGAAAAGCTGTCAAGTAATTCAGTAGCAAGATTGACAAATCTTTATTAATAACCCAAAATCTATTAACAAACAGATGGATTTCTGCTTTATCTCTGTGTTATCCTGTCAGACTCATATAACAACTTAAATAAACAGAAACCAGATTAAATATCCCCAAAGTCCTATGAAGAAAATGTGTTACAAGTACTAGAAATGCATTTTGGATTTTTTTAAGGAAAAAAAAACCCTCACAAAATATTTACAAAACTGAAGTAGTAAGACACGGCAAAAAAATACTCCAGATACTGAAATTCATTAAGTTAGGTGGTAGCTGGGTCAACATTTAGCTACTGTAAAAACCTGCTCCAACCAAAGCTTAATTTGGAGACTATACCTACGTTCTCATTGCAGTGACAGTGCAATCAAACACCTTAGAGAAATGCACTGCTGGTCCACACTGCCAATCCTGCTTTGGTTGTTCAAGCAGAGTCAGATTCATGAAACAGAGTAATTAAAAATCTTGAGGGAGATTTTGGTATTTTCTCATTAAAATACCTATCTTGGTTTTATCCTCATTTCTAGTAAAGTAAAATCATAAAACATCATGAAGTAAAATCATAAAAATGACCTCTAAGATCACTGAATCCATCTGTTACCCAGCACTGCCAAGTCCACCTCTAAGCCCTGTCCCTAAGTACCACATCTACATGTCTTCTAAGTACCTCCAGGGATGGAGACTCCACATCTTCCCTGGGCAGCCTTCCAGCGCTTGACCACTCCTTTGGTGATGAAATTTTTCCTGGTATCTAATCTAAAACTCCTCTGGCCCAGCTCGAGGCCTATCACTTGTAACTTGGCACAGCCTCATGCCGACTATGCCAGGGCACCTGGACAGGTGCTCCTGTCACAGAGGGGATGCTCCTGCTGTGCTGGGCAGGAACTTGCTGCCATTGCCCCGTCCCTTCAGTCACTTCAGCCAGGCAGAGCAAGGATGGGGAATGCTCCCTATCAGGAATGTCCTATCTGCCTGTCTGCCTTCCCCAAGGAAGGCTGGGTGTGATTCCAGCTCACTTCCATTCAGCAGCCATTCTAATTCCAAGCTCAGTGGTTCCCATATAAAGGATAAAAAACCTGAATACACTGGATTTACTAGCAACATTCATTTTGATCTAAATATTTGGGCAAAAGTTGGACAAAACATAGTGAAGAGAAAGACTAAAGTGTTGAGTTTTTGAGATGTTTAAACCTCGTAAGAAATAAACATTACACAAAATATTAGGTACTAAAATGTCAACTTGGGCTGGAACACTTACATAAATCAGAGAAAAGGATAAATCTGGGAGAAATGGAAACTACTAGAAAATCAGAATATAGCTACCTCTTGTCAACATGTTGCCAAGAAATTTAAGAGTATACACAAATGAACTAAAAAACATCAGCCTTTTTCTTGATTTGAAGAATAAAAAAGAACGATTCATTGTGGAATCAGCAGTGAGACAGACAAGCTGCGAATAAAATTAGAAGAGAGAATCATCTGGAGAAAACAGACTTTTTATTTTTTCAGAGGGGAACATCAAAAAAGAAAACAAAATAC